GAGATCAACGCTCGCCACCCCCGTCCCCCCCGTCTCTCTCTAGCTCGCTCGCTATCTGTGTCCCTCTCGTCCGCTCCAGATAGGCGCCGAAGATTTCTACACCACCGCCGCCGCATCCCCACCGCCACGGCCACCTATCACTGCAACCACCCACCAACAACCATCACGACCTCCACCCATCACTTGGATCGAATGGGATACATCCACCCCCCACCCACCTCGCTCCACATTCTGCACTCACCTAACACCGTCGCCACTCACCACCACCAGCTATCTCGACAACCAGCGCTCATCACTACCACCATCACCACCATCACCTCCGCCCATGACTGCAATCACCACCGTCACCACCACCCATCACCACCAGCAATGCATTTTTATACTGCACTATGCGCCAATCTTCATGACGCTACGCCATCACCAACCCCGCACTGAACCTAAGCGGTGAAATATGGTCAAAGGACCTCCACAACCCAAACAGCTTGGTCAGTCCTTCATGCAGCAGTCGGTTGATAATAGGGCCGGACACACACATGCCTGGTGCTGCATTGTTAATACCAGCACAAAGGCGGCAGGTCGATGGTTCCGGCCACACCACTCCTTGGTGCACCCACTCGTATATAATCTATACCCCCCAAGCTATCCGCACTTGCCCCAACAGCCTGTGGAGGCTATGCCAGCAATATTTGTCTTTGCCTATAGCTACGTTCGCTCGCTCCAGCCAGCGTAATCTTGAGCCAGAGCTGGGCTGCCGTGATGTCTCGTGATGGAGCTCACAGCCACCACCTCCTCCTCCTCCTTCCTCGCCGATAGCCACAGTTTGTGGCGATGGTTCGGGGATGTCCGAGGAAAGGGGGGGGGGCAGTTGGGGGGGGAGGGGTTGTGGTGGTCTGTGTGGGGCAATGATTAAGGTCACGGTTGACGTAAGTGGCCAAGACGTTTCCATCTCGCATTCGTTGCGACGCTGATGTAATTGCTAGGCCCGGCCCCAGCAGAGCCGAGTGGAGACCAGGCATAGGATGGAAGACCGGGGAGACCGGGGCAGACGGAGCCAGGAATAGACGCGCAGGTTCATGTGAGACCCACGCACGCGGCTGTCTCGCGCTTTGGGACGCAAAGGGCCAGTGGACCACGCAGATATTTGCGAGGTGGGCCGGAGACGGTCGCACCAGCGGCGAGTGTGTCCGTGAACCCGTCTGTGTGGACGTAAAGAAAGTGTCCACGTCTTCGGCGATGGGGATATTAGCGCACCGTGCAACGAGCCCCGGCCACCGCCCGAGATCGATTCCCAGCTACGGCAGACATCAGTGGCCAGTGAAATCTGAACCGGCCCTGGCCACTCTCTGCCATTCACCAAGCTCGCGTGGACGAGTAGGCCAAACACCTTCTAAGAAGGACTCTCTCGCGCTATCTCAAGCGAGGCTATTTTTTTCCGCCAGCGGTCGAGCATTTGCAGGGCTGCGCCTATGCCACCGTTCGTTATCTTAGTCATAGGTGAGGGAGGGCTACGAGGTGGAGGAGGAAGTGAGCTCCAAATTCCACATCGGCGATCGCCCGGGGCGCTGTCAACTCCAGGCCGAGTTATGGCCCCGTGGCTCCATTCATACTGCGGGTGGCGGGGCGAGGGGGAGCCTGTGGGTTCCTGCCCCCCCCCCCTTCTCTCCCCATCGCCCTGCCGGGACCCAGGACCCGCATCTTGTTGAAGGTCGGCAGTAAATCTGGAGAAGGTGTGAGTTGGGTTTCGTGTAAATTGGGAGTCGTTATGGGGCCTAAATCTTCATAAAAAAAAAAAACTACCACTGTGACTTTCTACACTTTCCTTATTTTATGTTTTATTTTCTTCTGGTCAGCCTAAAAAAATAATAATAATAACCCTAATAGTGGGAGGAGGGGGTGAGGAATAATGAATGGGCGTTGTGTTATTTCCTCCGCTTAACGCTGCCAGAATGTGAGTGCTGTCGATGCGCCAATAATACGAGTCGACGCTGGCCAAATCATCGCCTAATGCGCCACCAAAAAACGCGCGCCGCTAAATCCCGACCCGGGTTTGGAGAAGGGGGGGGGCCGTGTCTGGCAGAGAGAGCCTAATGATGGTTGCCACCAGTGCGCACACGCCGTTGAGTTCTGCCCAGTAGAGAGGTGCTCGCTAACCGCATCCTGTCCGCCTTGAAAGTAGCCCTCGCTCGCTGCATTTGCCCCAACGACATAGGAGGATGCACGTTGAGTGATCTTTGTGCTGCGTGCATAATGTGTGTGTGAGTGTGAGAATGAGCCGGTGAGTGGGTGTTAGTGTGTGTGAGTGTGTGTGTGAGTCGACTCAGCCTTAAATGAGTACCTGGTGCGGTGTGTAAACATCGCCACTAGGGAGACAAAGGCGGTCGGGCGTGGTGCTGGCCACCCACCCCCTCGTGTACCGTTCCGGCCTTCATAGGTGCTCGCTAACAGCACTTGCCCTTACAGTCTGTTCAGGCTATACGGGGGATCTTTGTCTTTGTGTGTGAGTGTGTGAGTGTGTGTGTGAGTGTGTGAGTGAGTGTGTGAGTGTGTGAGTGAATGTGTGTGTGAGTGAGTGTGTGTGAGTGTGTGTGTGAGTTTGTGTGAGTGTATGAGTGAGTGTGTGTGTGAGTTTGTGTGAGTGTGTGTGAGAATGAGCCGGTGAGTGGGTGTTAGTGTGTGTGAGTGTGTGTTTGAGTGTGTGAGTGTGTGTGTGAGTGTGTGTGAGTGTGTGAGTGTGTGTGTGAGTGTGTGTGAGTGTGTGAGTGTGTGTGAGTGTGAGAGAGAGAATGAGCCGGTGAGTGGGTGTTAGTGTGTGTTCGTGTGGGGGAGTGGTAGTGTAGCGGTGAGCGCTGCGCTCCACTACTAACCCAGCCACCGATTCCCGCTCACGGCCAACACCAGTGACGATTATGTGAACCGGTCCTGGGTCTCTCCCCTCGGTCGACTCAATCTCAAATGAGTACCTGGTGTGTTGCGTAAACATCAGCGCTGGGGAGACAAAGGCGGTCGGACGTGGTGTTGGCCAGTACCCCCTCGTGTGTCGTTCCGACCTTCATAGGTGCTCGCTAACAGCACTTGCCCCAACACTCTGCGAAGGCTATACGGGGGATCTTTATCTTTGCGTCTGTGTATACGTGCTGGGCTAGCAAGCACTCGCCTCAACAGCCTGTTAAAGGCTACATGGGGGAGTTTCACTTGTGTGTGGGGGGGGGGGGCAGATGTGTGCGGGTGGGCGTGTAACTGGCTGACCCCCCCCCCCCACTCACCCCCCCCCACCCTCCCCCCAGCCCCACCTCGTGCCCCCCCCCCCTCCAGCCCCCCGACCCACTCGCTGAACGCATTTGACCTGATCGACGCGCACTCCGTTTCCATGGGAAACCAACTCGACTCTTCCCGAGTACCCTCGACTACGCGAGATGATGGACGACTCGAGTTGGTCAACAACAACAACAACAACACGGGGAATGCGTGTGTGGTGTGTGGTGGTGGGGGGGGCGAGATGGTGGGGGGTGAGTGGAGGGGGGGGTGCACTTATCGTTGCTTGTGTTCTGTGCGCCATGGAGACGGGGGTCGTGAGGCTACGTGGAGGACCCTGGCTTCTATCGCAGCATACCACCTCGCTCTCTCTCTACCTCTTCCGTGCTGCAAGGGGTAGAGAGAGCCACACTGAGCCGTAGGACTCTTTTCTCAGGAGGGTTCTGAAGCTACATTGTTTTTCATTTGCAAGATATTTTTCCGCCAATTAACGACGAGTGTGTGTTTATTTTACCACGTGGAATGAAACCGGAGCACCAATTGCAAACCCACGCCACGCGCGAGGGCACAACGCTGTATCCCCCGTACAGATAAAAACAGATGGCGATTAGTCCACTTGCTGCTCTGCCTTTTCTACCGGCGAGCCAGGGGCACGGCTCCTGCTCGATGCTCACGGGAAGTAAGTGGGAGTTTCGCAACATTCGCCCGGTGATCCACACCAATCCTCGCTGCTATTTCCACAGTGCTGGCAGTCACGTGCAGTAGCAGACGCGCCACCGTCGCCCGCCTCTGAGCAGCAGAGACCAGTCCAGGGCTGGCCCACAAGGGCAGCGGTCCGGGCAAATACCCGGTGGGCCGGTCCGTATGGGTAAATTGTAAATGTGATCAGAGTAAAAAAAAAAAATCCTTTTTTTGTATATTAAATATATTGGAATATTGTTTGCAAATTTTTTGTTATTGTAATATTTTATTACATATCATGTGTACGCTTCATTGCTCTCAGTTGGCATCAAGTCTCCATATTCGGCAGCCGCAAAGATTCTTCATCACCGGCCCATTTCGTTGTTCTGGACCCAACCCAAACGGGCGACTGAGATGGCGCGACAATTAGGGCCCCCGGCGTGTTCGCAAGACGCCTGGGACGATTTTAGGTCCCAGAGACTACGACTCCTCGATGCCTGTGCTGGGATTGACCTGGACGTTGGCTTCGGAGCGCCGGCGAGTGCCGGGGGGGGGTCACCCACGTGCCCCCCGCGCCGTAGTGGAGGTCGCACGCGGACCACGCGAGGAATCACCTTGCGTTCCCCCGCGGTCACGTGAGGACGACTCGTGTACTTTCCACGCGTGGATGATGATGATGATGTTGATTATGATGATGATGAGTGCACCTCCGATTGTAGCACGGCTGGCGACGTACGGTGCGAAAGAAGTTCAACATACATACACACGGTGGTGGTGGTGATTGCATCCTCTCGACACTGCACGTGGTCTCGAAGTGCACCTTGCCTGACACAAGCGCCGTGGTGACGTCACCGCGACTGTTGTTGTTGATGATGATGATGATCACGATGATTATATCTGTGTGGTATAAGCATCACCACTGGGGAGACAAAGGCGTGTTGCTGGCCACCCGCCTCTTCGTGTGCCGCGACTGCCTTCACAGGTGCTCGCTAACAGCACTTGCCCCTACAGTCTGTTAAGGCTAAATGGGGGCTCTTTGTCTTTGTCTTTTGTGCGTGCGCGTGCAGCCGGGCTCCCGTACGCGGTCACGGCGGGGACGGCGGCTGCCGCCTACCGGGGCGCGCACGTGCGCGGGCGAGGACGGGGCGGCTTCTACAACACCCTGAGGGCCGCCACCCCCACAGCCACACTGCCACCCGCCTACGGGGGGTGCGTGCACACAATCACACGCACAATCACACGCACAATCACACACACAATCACACACACACTGAGACAATCACACACACAATCACACACACACTGAGACAATCACACACACAATCACACACACACTGAGACAATCATACACACACTCAAACACAATCTCACACACACACAATCATACACACAATCACACACACACTGAGACAATCATACACACACTCAAACACAATCTCACACACACACAATCACACACACAATCACACACACACTGAGACAATCATACACACACTCAAACACAATCACACACACACAATCACACACAATCACACACAATCACACACACAATCACACACACACTGAGACAATCATACACACACTCAAACACAATCTCACACACACACAATCATACACACAATCATACACACAATCACACACACAATAACTCAGACAATCACACACAATCATACACACAATCACACACACAATCACTCAGACAATCACACACAATCACACGCACAATCATACACACACAATCACACACACACAATCAAACACACACTCAGACAATCACACACAATCAAACACAATCAAACACACAATCAAACACAATCACGCACACACAATAACACACACAAACACAATCATACACAATAACGCACACACAATCAGCCACAATCACACACACAAGCAAACACACACACAATCATACACACAGACACAATCACAATAATACACACACAATCAGACGCAATCGCAAACACAATCACACACACAATAAGAAAGAATCACACGCACAATCAGACACAATCACACGCACATAATAAGACAATCACATGCACACACTATCAGACACAATCTCATACACAACAACAACCGCCATTCGTCCACTAAGTGGCGGTGACGTCACCACGCCGCTTGTGCCAGGCTATGTGCACGTTAAGGCCACGTGAAATGTCGAACGCCCGCTGGCAGGAGGTCACGGGGCAGACCCAAGTGCCATGGGTCCACTGACATATGACTGGCCGATGCACCACCTGTGCTCCGTACGGTATCAACTTGTTAGCGTTTAGCTGCTCGGAGCTCTGCTCGTTGTTGTGAGCGTCGCTCCTGTGCCCTCCGTTGTTGCTGGAGGGCGTCTGCCTCCAACCACCCAGTAGCGTCTTTCACGAGCCTCTTCCACAGTGACATATTTGACACCACTCTTACCGGTCATCAGCAAGTCCACTCAGCTCTGCACCACATTCGCCGATCTCTTCTCCAGCACATGCCACGCTCGTTTAGCCCCATCTATCCGGCCAAACAGAAGCTGCTTGGGCATGCTTTGGCTGGGTATGCAGGCTGCATAACCCAGCCAACGTAGACTTGCCTGCCAAATGAATTCAGCAATGGGAATGTGTCCAGATCTTTCAAGTGACCTTCTCACACAATATAGCCTAGTTAAACCGACGATGGATCATAGGCAGGCCAGCCTGATTGGCCTCAATGTTTGAAACCAGCGCAGATGTTCCTTTAGAGGGGTCCGTTGTATCTATACCAAATGGAAATCCCTCTCTATAGTCATGGAAAGCCTCTCGGACAATGCGCCAAATTTATATTCAATAATATCGGAGCCAAAGGCGCCTGGCTGTCTGATCCCAAAGTGATCAGAGAATGGCTCTGACTCCAGGCCACGCAGTTTACCCGGACCTGCCCACCATGATGAGAGTCCTGAATTATTGTGAGCAGAGAGTCAGAGACCCCCGAAAGCGCGAATAATAACCCACAGCCCAGACATATGCGTGCTATCACAGGCCTTGACGGGGTCAATGACGCAGAGATGTAGGCCCCGTTGAAATTCCCTACCCCTCTGCTGTAGCAAACTGACAAGATATGGCGCCTGTGTGGTTTCAGGCATCTGCCTGAAACCACATTGGGGCTCTGCAAGTCTTTCTTCTTGCAACACTTGAGGCACAGCAGCCCCATTAGGGTCATCCTCACACACACACCCGCACACAAGACAAAAATCCCCCGCATAGCCTTCACATATGTTTGGGGCAAGTGCTGTTAGCAAGCAACTATGAAGGTCGGCACGACCCACGTCAGGGGTTGGTTGGGTAGCACCACGCCCGACCGCCTTTGCCTCCCATCGCCAATTTGAGGCTGAGTCGACCTATAGGTAGACGCGGGACCAGCTCGGATAATTGTTACTGGCGTGGGCCGCGAGCGGCAAATCGTGCTCGGGTCGCCGGGTTTGCAGCGTAAGGCGGCGTCAATCCGCCGCACTGCTGCTCCCCGCAACTCACACGTCCGCGTGACGCACCCACCACGGCACTCGGGATCACGGAGGAGGCCCGGCGTTTAAGGCCACGGCGATGCGCGCCGTGTGATGTAGCAATCCGCATGTCAGACATCAGCCGCAACTCGCGCACCAACAACATGACTCGACACGAAATGCTTAAACAAGCTGGAGGGGAGGAGCGGGGGCTAAAAAAATAATAATATTTTTTTGTCGGGAAATAAGCAATTTGGGGCACTGGGGGAATGGAAAAATGGAAAATCCAACCGAGATGCGTGGCTGGGAGATTTTCCAGGAACTGTATAAAAACAGACGGGAGCCCTGGGGGCGTGCGGGGAGGCTGGAGGGGGGCGATCCGGAGACGGAGGAGCTCAGTAAGGAGCTGTCACGATGCCGCCCGCGTTAAGACGTAGAGATGAGCCCTAATGACGGCGACTGCGTTACTCGCGGTGTCACCCTCCTCCTTCCCGTCTCCCTGCGTCCCATCTCACTCCCTCCCAGCTCCCTTCATTCCCTTCCCCCCCATCTCCCTTCGTCTCACTCTCCCTCCCCTCTCCCTGACTTCTCCCTCCCACCCATCTTCCCCCATCCCACACTCCCACCGCCCTCCCACGCCATGAGTTAGCACGAAGACAAAAATACCCCGGATAGCCGTGACAGACGGTAGGGGCAAGTGCTGTTAGCGAGCACCTATGAAGGCTGGCACGGCACACGAGGGGGTGGGCGGCCAGCAACCACGCCCGGCCGCCTTTGTCTCGCTTGTGGGGATGTTTACACACCTCACCAGGTACACATTTCAGGCTGAGTCGACTTAGGGGAGGCCCAGGACGGGTTCAGATAATCGTCACTGGTGTTGGCCGTGAGCGGGAATCGAACTCGGGTCACCGGGTTTTTTTAGTGCAGCGCGCTAACCGCTACACGGGGCAAAGAGACAAAGACAAAGATCCCCCGTGTAGCCTGTAACAAACTGTTGGGGCAAGTGCTGTTAGCGAGCACCTATGAATGCCAGAAATGCACACGAGGGGTGGGTGGCCAGCACCACGCCAAGCCCAAGTGGCGATGTTGTATACTTCAATGAAATTGAACTAATTGTTATTTCTCTATTTCCTTTTGATTATCTTAATTTTTCCATTAATTCATAATCGTTATTCTCATGATCTCATTGTTACTTTTATTTATTTTGCAATTATTCATTTTTATTTTACTTATTTACTATATTTCCCACATCATTATCTCGTGATTATTATTTATCTCCACCATTATCATCATTACCATCATCATTACATCATTATCACTCTTACCATCATCATTTCTCTCATCATGATTATTACTCTCATCATAATGATTGTTATTCTCATCATCACCATCATTACTGTCATTATCACCACCATCGTTGTTATCACCATCATTATCGCCACCACCATCATTTATCTCACCACCACCATTATTTATTATTATAATTATCATTGTTATCTATATTATTACGACTACTACTACTACCGTGGGACTCCACGTGGCTCTCTGCGCCACCACCACCATCACCACCGCTGCCGCCCACGCCGCCGCACAGAGTTGTGTACCAGGACGCGTTCTACGGCGCCGATCTCTTCGTGAGTACCCACGTCCCCCCGAGTCACCTGCATCTCACCGAGGACCCACGTCACACTGAGAACCCGCGTCCCACCGAGTACTCGCGTCTCAGGCTTGCTCGAGTCAATCAACCAATCAATGCTCTCTCTCTTTGCACCGTGGAGATCGCAGTTCTCATAGGAAAACACAAGTCGACATGATCGTGATAATAATTTATACGCGGGCTTAGCTTCTCGGATTCCTACCAGGTCTGGGCGCTTTCCGGGGTGATTCTGGACATAGGCGCGTGGTCATTCGGGACGGACACGATTAGACGGCGACCAGCAGAGCAACAATTGGAACGCGGCAGCACAGCAAGTGGGTGGGTTAGCGGGCAGGTGGGTCAGAGTTAGATGGCATCCCTTAAGATTCTGGGCTCAAATCCAGACAGCGGATTGCAATTAAAACCCGGGTTTCTCAAGCATTGTGACGGCGATGGTCTCAGCCCGGTCACCAATGACCTCACGAAAACATATTAAAACAACAACAAAAAAACCCGTCTCTATTAATGTGGCCCTACAGCTTCATTGATTCGGCGAAATCCCTCGTGTGGTAGGTTTATGCAGCGAGTCCCGCAGGCGAGCAAAACACTCGTTGGACCATCGTGGGAAAAAAAAGAGTATTGAGACTCAGTGAGGCTCTCCGGATTTTGTTTTGTTTAACCCCACGTCTTGCTTCGCGCAGAAGAGAGACGTCCGTCTCACCGGGCCTTCGCCCCGGTAATAAATCAAGGTTTTGGATTAATCGATGGACTGATTGATAGACTGATTGACGGGTGCATAGATTCATTGATGGATTATTGAGCTTGGGGCTTTTGAGAATTAGCCCGTGGAGTTTTAAGGCCCTTGCTTCGGGGGTGAGGGGGTTGAAGCTCCTCGAGTTTTTGCCGACTCGTCGTCCCAACGCAGAAGCCACCGACCAAAGGAGAAACGGGTTGAGAACTTGAGCGTCGAATTGCAACGTCGCTCTCCGCTCCGAACGAACCATGGGCCGTCAACGTCTGGCACCCGCCTGACGGAAGTCCGTTCCGTTCCCTGGAGGTTAAGTTGCGCTGAAGGTTGGCAACCTTTGCTGGCAACAGTCGGGAAAATGCGACTGCTGGGGTCACCAGAGCCAGGCCATGGGGAACGTGCCCCAACAGTGCCCCCACCCCCCACCGGCCCGCCCTCCTGCACCGCCGATTTGCGGGCAATGTCACGGACATCCACCACGAGAGAAACACGCAGAAGCGACCTGTTGCGCCCACTGATGACTTGCTGCGAATTGCCGCTCTCTCACCGAGCTACACAGTGGCAGAGTGAGTTCACGGCGCTCCAGGCCTGGCCAGGCAGCTCGTGCACACAACTGCCAGGCGCACAATTGAAGAACGCGATGCGCGGTCGTAGCCGGAGCTCTGAGACTGACACCGATCCCCTGGCTCCCTGTTCCGGCGAAACTTTTTTTGCCACCCAAATATATCCACGGAGACATTGTGCAAACTGCAAAAGGAGTTGATTCTAGATTTGAAGCTTTCGTGACTGCAAGGGACAGTCCCATTTACACGCACCTTTACATCAGCCTCACCTTAACAACTCTTTTCAACCAGTCTACACAACAAAGGCTCATTCCTAACAGCGTGCTTCAGCCTCACCGAACCTCACAATAATAATATCCAGGGGCCTACCTTGGCTCCTCCCACCCTCAACCAGTATATATACAAGGACTGTTTTCTTGGAATTTCTCTTACTTGATACAGCTATCGTGCTGTGACGGTTCCACCTGAAGACGGAGGCTTGTCTTGCCTCCGAAACGTCGTGATTTTTATTTTATTTTTATTTTACTTATATTAATTTTAATTTTTTACTTACGTGACTTTACCGAAAAAAACCTAAGAATATGCAAAAGGAGTTGACATTTTGTTTGTTGCCAACGACAACCAGCTACCCCATCATCAACCCCAGACCTCAACAATGTCACCTCGCCGTCGACTCGTGTCCCGATCCCCCCTAGAATCTCACCCAGAGTCAGGAGAACGCTGTCGAACAGAGTGGAACATCGCACGCACTTCCAGAATAAACGCCTCATCCGAACATCCGAACATCGCTTCTCCCGGCTTCGACTTTTTTCTCCTACGAAGACATCGATGGTGTCACCGTCAACCACATCGGAACAACAGCAGGTCGATTCATGAACAGAAAATTAAAGGCACGAGCCACAACTCAACCCGTGGACCACGCAGTAAACCACCGGAAGAACCACGTGGGGAGTCACGTGCCCGGTGGCTTTCTATTCGAGGCAGCCGCCAGTGACCGGGGCCCTACCCTTGGTCACGGTGAGCTTCTGAGATCGGACAAGAAGCGAGCGAGCGGCGTCCAGGGGGACACGTGGCCGTGAGCGATGGCGCTGCAGGTCGCGTTGCGTAACTTCCCATGGCGCTTTGCCGTTCCGTCCCGAAGTTCGCCCTCGTTCCAGAGTTTAGTTGTCGCACGGCGAGCACGGCTGCTGTGACCGCAAGGATCGTGGCAGGTGTCGTGGTTATCGGTGGCGCGATCGTGGCGCCCTTTGCCGAGTAGCGCTCCGTGTCTCGGTGGTAATGACCAGAGTGTTGTGATGGGTGACTATTGGTGGTGGTGGTGGTGTTGGTGTTGAGGTTATCATTGGTGGGGGTGGCGAGGTTCCTGGACTTCCTCATTGAGAACCCAGGGATATTGCTCTCTGTCTGGATTACTCACCGCCGACTCACCTCATTCGCTCACTCAATCACTCCCACACCCTCACCAAACTTCACCCACGTCGCTTCACCTCATTCACCTCTCTCATGAAGCCTGGTAAAACCAGGCACAGGACAGAGACCGGGCAGTGGTATTGATCGGATGCTTACCCGTGCGCGTGTGTGCGTGTACCCGTGTGTGTGCGCGTGTGTGTGTGTGCCCGTGTGTTTGTGCGCGTACCCGTTTGTGTGTGTGTACCCGTGTGTGTGCGCGTACCCGTGTGTGTGTGTGTGCCCTTGTACCCCCGCGTGTCCCTACAGGGAGGGTATACGACCTACCGATACGCGCAGCCCGCCACCGCCGCCGTGTACAGCGACAGGTGAGACCCAGCTGACGCGTCACCCGCCGCGTCACCCACCGAGTGACCCACCGCGTCACCGACCGAGTCACCCGCCGTGTCACCCACCGCGTCACTCGCCGATTCGGTGGAGCGACGACGGTCGTGGATCACCACCGGAGCGGCGGCCAAAAGGAATGGAACTCCGTCTTGTTGTGACGCTCCACCGCCCCTCTGTCCGATGGGAGATGGAGCGATGAAATTCGGGCCTCGTGTTTCCGAGTTGGATCCATCGCAGAGATCGCGGCAAGAGATGGCGACTCATTGACCAGAGGGCCTCCCTTTCGTCCAGCAGTGGATCGATCATTGCCACTGAGCGACGTCTCTCAATCTCTCAGCCTGGCAACGTGGGGGGGGGGGGGGGGGGGTTGCCATTTATAATTCCATTAAAGCGGTGGTTGTCGACCTCATTGGTACGGCGGAACTCCTCACTCGTACACAAAGACAAATATCCCCAGCGTAGCCTTTCACCAGACCGTCGGGGCAAGCAATGTCAAGGCCGGCATGGCATAGAACTTGGGTCGCCGAGTTTGTAGCGCAGTGCGCCAACCACTGCGCCACCGCTCTCTACTCTCACGCACACAAAGACGCCCCGTGTAGCCTGAGCCGACGTTTGGAGCAAGTGCTGCGAGCGAGCACCGATAAAGGCCGAGGCGGTGGGTGGCCAGCACCACACCCGGCCGCCTTCGTTTCCCGAGTGGCGATATAAACACACCGCCCCACAAACTAATTTAAGGCTGAGTCGACCAAGTGGAGGCCCAGGACCGGTTCAGACAATCGTCAACGGTGTTGGCCGTGAGCGGGAATCGAACTCGGGATGTGGGGTCCGTAGCGCAGCACGCTAGCCGCTGCACTACCGCAACCGACACACACGCACAGACAACCACACATACACAGAGACAACCACACACACACAGCCCAGAGCCACCGGCGTGTTAGTGGCGGTATCCATCAGCTGGTAGGGGCTCGACGATCAATAGGCGCGTCGCGCTCACGTGAGCGATGCGCGCTGTTCCGCTTACCTTGACTGCCACCAAGACCCCTACTCACTCATACATACAGACATACAGACACGCATACACCCCACTCACTCATCCACACACACAGACATACACACATACATACACCCCACTCACTCATACACATACAGACACCCCACTCACTCATACACACAGACACACAGACATACATACACCCCACTCACTCATACACACAGACATACAGACAGACATACACCCCACTCACTCATACACATACATACACCCCATTCACTCATACACACAGACACACACATACATACACCCCACTCACTCATACATATATACAGACATACAGACATACATACACCCCACTCACTCATACACACATACAGACATACAGACATACATACACCCCACTCACTCATACACACATACAGACATACAGACATACATACACCCCACTCACTCATACACACAGACATACAGACAGACATACACCCCACTCACTCATACACACATACAGACACCCCACTCACTCACTCACTCACACAGACATACAGACACACATACATACACCCCACTCACTCATACATATATATACATACACGCAGACATACATACACCCCACTCACTAAAACATACATACACACAAACATACACTCAAACATAGATACAAAGACAAAGATCCCCCCCGTATAGCCTTAATACACTTTTGGGGCAAATACTGTTCGAGAGCACCTACGAAGGCCGTCACGGCCCCACACCCGGCCGCCTTTGTCTCTCTAGTGGCGATGTTTACACACCGCACCTAGGTAGATAGTTTAGGCTGAGTCGACCTAGGGGAGGATCAGAACCGGTTCCACTAGTGGGCGGGAATCTAACTCGGGTCGCTGGATTCGTGCAGAGGAGTGGCTCTTAACATGGGATGCACGCACACCCACTGGGGGGTGCGAGACGTGGGCAGACATTTGTTTTAGAAGGTAAATCATCCAAACACAAATTAAGCACGGGCACGAAAGTACACTCGCTTTGTTTCATCAAACCCGTGTGTTTATTAACATTGTACTTTTTGTTTTTTTTTGGTTTACCATTGACAACCAAGGGGGTGCGATGCTGTGGTAAAGGTTTAGAGTATTGGGCTGCTGCTGCTTACATTTTGCGCCGCTTTGCTGAGCTGTAGGTCATTTCTGAAACAGAGCTGTATACCTCAGTGGGCCTTAGCTGGTAAATAAAAAATTAAATGTTTAGTTTTAGACAACTTCGCTACATCTCCCCGACACACACACAGCCCAACGCAAATAAACACACAAAGACGAAGATTCCCCGTATAGCTTTATTAGACTTTTGGGGCAAGTGTTGTTGACGAACACATATGAAGGCACACGAGGGGGTGGGTGGGTGGCCAGCACCATGCCCGGCCGCCTTTGTCTCCATCGTGCTCATTTGAGGCTTAGTCGACCTAGGGGAGGCCCGTTTCAGATAATCGTCACTGGCGTTGGCCGTGAGCGGGAATCGAAACCGGGTCGCCGTGTTCGTAGTTGCAACGCAACACATACACACCACCACCTCCACTCGCGCAAACACACACTCACACACCACCACCACCTCCACTCGCTCAGACACACACACACCACCACCACTCACTCAGACACACACACCACCACCTCCATTCGCTCAGACACACACACACACCACCACCACTCACTCAGACACACACACCACCACCTCCATTCGCTCAGACACACACACACACACCACCACCACTCGCTCAGACACACACACCCACCACCACCACTCACTCAGACACACACATACCACCATCACTCGCTCAGACACACACACCACCACCTCCACTCGCGCAAACACACACTCACACACCACCACCACCACCTGCTCAGACACACACACCACTACCACTCGCTCAGACACACACCACCACCTCCACTCGCTCAGACACACACACACACCACCACCACTCGCTCAGACACACACACACACACCACCACCACTCGCTCAGACACACACAAACCACCACCACTCACTCAGACACACACACACCACCACCTCCACTCACTCAGACACACACACCACCACCTGCTCAGACACACACACCACCACCACTCGCTCAGACACACACACCACCACCACCACTCGCTCAGACACACACACACCACCACTCGCTCAGACACACACACACACACCACCACCACTCACTCAGACACACACACACACACCACCACCACTCGCTCAGACACACACACACACACCACCACCATTCGCTCAGACACACACACCACCACCATCACTCACTCAGACACACACACACCACCACCTCCACTCGCTCAGACACACACACACACCACCACTCGCTCAGACACACACACACCACCACCACTCGCTCAGACACACATTCGCAAACACACAAATACAACGGAGTCAAAGACACCCACAACCATCAACTCGCAGCGAAGTCATCCCCCGCTCCGCTCACCCACCCCCGCGTGCCTCCCCTGGCAGCGACGGCGGCACCACGTCTATTTATTTGGCTTCATCACCATCAGATTGTCACATGGTCCCGTGTCATTCCTCCGCGTCGCTAAATCAGATCTCGGGAAGACGCGCGTCTCTCGCGACTCACTGACACCCCTTTCCCTGCCCGTCTCTCCCACCACCTCCCCTGTCTCCCCCCCCCCCCGGCCCCCCAAACACCTCTCCACCCCCCCCCCCTCTTCTTCCCCCTCTGGTTCTCCCGCAGCTATGGACGTGTATACACCGCAGCGGACGCCTACACGCACGCGCTCGCACCCGCCGCTTCCTACGGGGTGAGCGCGATGGTGGGTGAATGCTGCTCCCCCCACCCCCCACACACACAAGCCACGGCCAACTCGCTCCCCCAGGCCACCCCTCGCCCCGCGGTCGTCTTTGTCTCTCTCCTCTCTCTCTCTCTTTCCCTCCCTGCCTCCCTCTCTCTCTCTCTCATCTCTTCTCTCGGCGAGAGCCCGAGGCGTTGAGAGCTGCGCGCGGCGCTGCGAACCAACGAAGCTGACAACTCAAACAAAGCGACGGACGCTGCGCCGAGACCCGTCGTGGGTCGCGCGTGCAGATTCCATCCCTCGCCGGCGAGGCGGAGCCACAGAGTCAGCCGGCAGGCAACGCAAGCCAGCAGCAGCATATGGCTAGGGCTAGGGCTAATGCCAGCGGCTGGATAGTGTGGTTATGGCTAGGGCTAATGCCAATGGCTGGTTAGTGTGGTTATGGCTAGGGCTAATGCCAGCGGCTGGATAGTGTGGTTATGGCTAGGGCTAATGCCAGCGGCTGGTTAGTGTGGTTATGGCTAGGGCTAATGCCAGCGGCTGGTTAGTGTGGTTATGGCTAGGGCTAATGCCAGCGGCTGGTTAGTGTGGTTATGGCTAGGGCTAATGCCAGCGGCTGGTTAGTGTGGTTATGGCTAGGGCTAATGCCAGCGGCTGGTTAGTGTGGTTATGGCTAGGGCTAATGCCAGCGGCTGGTTAGTGTGGTTATGGCTAGGGCTAATGCCAGCGGCTGGTTAGTGTGGTTATGGCTAGGGCTAATGCCAGCGGCTGGTTAGTGTGGTTATGGCTAGGGCTAATGCCAGCGGCTGGTTAGTGTGGTTATGGCTAGGGCTAATGCCAGCTGCTGGTTAGTGCGGTTATGGCTAGGGCTAATGCCAGCGGCTGGTTAGTGTGGTTATGGCTAGGGCTAATGCCAGCGGCTGGTTAGTGTGGTTATGGCTAGGGCTAATGCCAGCGGCTGGTTAGTGTGGTTATGGCTAGGGCTAATGCCAGCGGCTGGTTAGTGTGGTTATGGCTAGGGCTAATGCCAGCGGCTGGTTAGTGTGGTTATGGCTAGGGCTAATGCCAGCGGCTGGTTAGTGTGGTTATGGCTAGGGCTAATGCCAGCGGCTGGTTAGTGTGGTTATGGCTAGGGCTAATGCCAGCGGCTGGTTAGTGTGGTTATGGCTAGGGCTAATGCCAATGGCTGGTTAGTGTGGTTATGGCTAGGGCTAATGCCAATGGCTGGTTAGTGTGGTTATGGCTAGGGCTAATGCCAGCGGCTGGTTAGTGTGGTTATGGCTAGGGCTAATGCCAGCGGCTGGTTAGTGTGGTTATGGCTAGGGCTAATGCCAGCGGCTGGTTAGTGTGGTTATGGCTAGGGCTAATGCCAGCGGCTGGTTAGTGTGGTTATGGCTAGGGCTAATGCCAATGGCTGGTTAGTGTGGTTATGGCTAGGGCTAATGCCAATGGCTGGTTAGTGTGGTTATGGCTAGGGCTAATGCCAATGGCTGGTTAGTGTGGTTATGGCTAGGGCTAATGCCAGCGGCTGGTTAGTGTGGTTATGGCTAGGGCTAATGCCAATGGCTGGTTAGTGTGGTTATGGCTAGGGCTAATGCCAGCGGCTGGTTAGTGTGGTTATGGCTAGGGCTAATGCCAGCGGCTGGTTAGTGTGGTTATGGCTAGGGCTAATGCCAGCGGCTGGTTAGTGTGGTTATGGCTAGGGCTAATGCCAATGGCTGGTTAGTGTGGTTATGGCTAGGGCTAATGCCAATGGCTGGTTAGTGTGGTTATGGCTAGGGCTAATGCCAGCGGCTGGTTAGTGTGGTTATGGCTAGGGCTAATGCCAGCGGCTGGTTAGTGTGGTTATGGCTAGGGCTACTACTAGTGGCTGGTTAGTGTGGTTATGGCTACTACTAGTGACTGGTTAGTGTGGTTATGGCTAGGGCTACTACCAGTGGCTGGTTAGTGTGGTTGTGGCTACTACTAGTGACTAGTTAGTATGGTTGTGGCTACTACTAGTGGCTGGTTAGTGTGGTTATGGCTACTACTAGTGACTGGTTAGTGTGGTTATGGCTAGGGCTACTACCAGTGGCTGGTTAGTGTGGTTGTGGCTACTACTAGTGACTAGTTAGTGTGGTTATGGCTACTATCAGTGGCTGGTTAGTGTGGTTATGGCTAGGGCTACTACTAGTGGCTGGTTAGTGTGGTTGTGGCTACTACTAGTGACTGGTTAGTGTGGTTGTGGCTACTACTAGTGACTAGTTAGTGTGATTGTGGCTACTACTAGTGACTAGTTAGTGTGGTTATGGCTACTACTAGTGACTGGTTAGTGTGGTTATGGCTAGGGCTACTACCAGTGGCTGGTTAGTGTGGTTGTGGCTACTACTAGTGACTAGTTAGTATGGTTGTGGCTACTACTAGTGGCTGGTTAGTGTGGTTGTGGCTACTACTAGTGACTAGTTAGTGTGGTTGTGGCTACTACTAGTGGCTGGTTAGTATGGTTATGGCTACTACTAGTGACTCGTTAGTGTGGTTATGGCTAGGGCTACTACCAGTGGCTTGTTAGTGTGGTTGTGGCTACTACTAGTGACTAGTTAGTGTGGTTATGGCTACTATCAGTGGCTGGTTAGTGTGGTTATGGCTAGGGCTACTACTAGTGGCTGGTTAGTGTGGTTGTGGCTACTACTAGTGACTGGTTAGTGTGGTTGTGGCTACTACTAGTGACTAGTTAGTGTGGTTGTGGCTACTACTAGTGACTGGTTAGTGTGGTTGTGGCTAGGGCTACTACTAGTGGCTGGTTAGTGTGGTTGTGGCTACTACTAGTGACTGGTTAGTGTGGTTGTGGCTACTACTAGTGACTAGTTAGTGTGGTTATGGCTACTACTAGTTGCTGGTTAGTGTGGTTATGGCTACTACTAGTGACTGGTTAGTGTGGTTATGGCTACTACTAGTTGCTGGTTAGTGTGGTTATGGCTAGGGCTACTACCAGTGGCTGGTTAGTGTGGTTGTGGCTACTACTAGTGGCTGGTTAGTGTGGTTATGGCTATTACTAGTGACTGGTTAGTGTGGTTATGGCTTGGGCTACTACCAGTGACTAGCGAGCGAGCGTGGTTGAGGATGGATCTCGAAACTCCTCACGTGAGGCGGTTGAGTCGTGGCTGGGAACTTCGAGCGCTGGAACTGCGTTAATCAAAAAACCAACACTGCCAGTGTATCAGGTCTCAAGATGGGGGCAGTCACCTCTCCGCTCCCCTCTCCACCCTCTCCGCTCCCCTCTCCACCCTCTCCGCTCCCCTCTCCACCCTCTCCGCTCCCCTCTCCACCCTCTCCGCTCCCCTCTCCACCCTCTCCGCTCCCCTCTCCACCTCTCCGCTCCCCTCTCCACCCTCTCCGCTCCCCTCTCCACCCTCTCCGCTCCCCTCTCCACCCTCTCCGCTCCCCTCTCCACCCTCTCCGCTCCCCTCTCCACGCTCTCCGCTCCCCTCTCCACCCTCTCCGCTCCCCTCTCCACCCTCTCCGCTCCCCTCTCCACCCTCTCCGCTCCCCTCTCCACCCTCTCCGCTCCCCTCTCCACCCTCTCCGCTCCCCTCTCCACCCTCTCCGCTCCCCTCTCCACCCTCTCCGCTCCCCTCTCCACCCTCTCCGCTCCCCTCTCCACCCTCTCCGCTCCCCTCTCCACCCTCTCCGCTCCCCTCTCCACCCTCTCCGCTCCCCTCTCCACCCTCTCCGCTCCCCTCTCCACCCTCTCCGCTCCCCTCTCCACCCTCTCCGCTCCCCTCTCCACCCTCTCCGCTCCCTCTCCACCCTCCCTCCCCTCTCCACCCTCTCCGCTCCCCTCTCCACCCTCTCCGCTCCCCTCTCCACGCTCTCCGCTCCCCTCTCCACCCTCTCCCCTCTCCGCTCCCCTCTCCACCCTCTCCGCTCCCCTCTCCACCTTCTCCGCTCCCCTCTCCACCCTCTCCCCTCTCCGCTCCCCTCTCCACCCTCTCCGCTCCCCTCTCCACCTTCTCCGCTGCTCTCCGCTCTCCATCAGTGTCGCCATCGTTAGACGCCGAGTGGGGAAGTGATCACCGCGGAGCGCGACCTCTGTGACCCCTGTGACCCCTGTGACCCCTGTCGGCCCGCCGGCCCCGCGAGCTGTCGCCCGCGATTGCCCCGTCGCCTGCACCACCACACGGAGGGGGGTGGGAGGGGGGGTGGGAGGGGGGGTGGGGGGGGTGGGAGGGGGGGTGGGGGGGGTGGGAGAGGGGGTGGGGGGGGGTGGGAGGGGTGTGGTGGGGGGTGGGAGGGGGGGTGGGGGGTGTGTGGGGGGGTGTGGGGGGTGTGGGGTGGGGACTTGGCCATCGCTGTATCCCACCACTCAGCTCGCGGTGCTGAGCCAACGACTGACATTCCACATTCCTATGGCGGGGGACCGAGCCTGTCCATAGGGCAACAGCTGTTGACTTCCTCACAAAGCGGCAGTGTTTTTTTTTGGGGGGGGGGTTCTTTTTTATCGAACCCGGAGAGATATTTGGGATGAGTTGAACGCCTTTCGCCAAAGCAGAAATTGAACTCGCATCCTTCCTATCGCCGAGCCACCGAGACCGATTTAGTGATGGAACTAAGCGGGCGCGCTCGTGAACGTTTGGCGGACGTCAATCCGACGGCCTCACCCACACGCCAACGTTAGCCCAACGTTGGTGGAGCGTGGCGGCGACTACTCCTACGAACTGGAGCGAGTGACGCGAGTGACGAACCCACCGAATGATGACGCAGACCCAGACCATCAGTGACGTCAGTGGGGAGGGAGTGGGGGGGGAGCTGCAGGAGCGAGCGTTGAGCAGCACTCCGGAACCTGCGATCCAGAAACCGCCGGTTCGATTCGTATCTCCCGGAACGGCAGTTGAAACAATGGGTGCAGGTTGTTCATATCCCACACACCCCTTCTCACCACCTTTATCCACTCAGCCAGCATTGATGGCTTAACCACTGTTTGATTGAGCGACAGATCGCGTGCGGTGTGCTTGGGTAAAAGTGTGCGTGCACCCAGCGTCTCA